TATTTCTACTGATACCCTCAGGAGCCTTCTCCGGTTCAACTTCACCAATAGGGGTACTAGTTTTAGCCTTCTTGCTCATACGAGCTTTGGCACTGTGATATCAAAACAAAGATTAGCACGGTAAACCAAACTATGAAGGAAAAATATGAAGGGCGGTATACTTACCCAGGGACGGTTTTTAGGGGAGGCAGCTGAGTGGTTGATGAACCGCCAGACGAATTGGAAGACACCTGGTAATTCAGATCAGACGGAATGAGTGGGTATCGGAAGAAACCCTTCAAAGGGTAAAGTTTTTCGGGAGAACAAGTAACCTCTGGACGACGTTTGCGGGTTGGTGTATCTAGTAAACCGGAAAAGGTGATTTGCTGGCCACTGTGCCAGGTTGTGCGACGCTCTTCACGTTGCTATGTCTTCAAAGAAAATTTTGGATCCAAATAAGCAAGAGGGTGAGAGTATTTTACTTCCCGAACTGCACGGCGAAATCTTTGAACCGGCACAAGATCTGAATCGGAGGAAAGAGAGATTACCTCAACATGGTCCGCACGGCTGGCCTCCGCATCATCCTAGGAATAGTCATTCTCAATAAGGTGTATGAAAAAGGAACCAAGCGAGTCAAGTTCTACCTCTGGATCTGATTCGTCAATATCTTCTGGCGGATCAGAAGACTCGGCGGTTTTCTTCTTGGCAGCTCTCTTTGTGACCTTACTTTTCGCACGAGGAGCCCTAACCGGTTTATCTTGAGTTTTCCGCTTCCAGAAGGAAATGTTGGCCTGGAACAAGAATAAATAAAGGATTATCAAAATAAGGTTAAAGCGGAAACGGGTCAACAAATGTGGAAAAAGATAAAATGCTTACTGCTGGCGGTTTGTTGGAAGTACAAAAAGGAGCCAATCTGGTCTTGCTGCATTGAGCGACCGGTTCATCCAACAATTTCTTCACGGCTTCAGTAACTTCATCATCAGTCAATTCTATCTCATGAAACCGTTGAGGGTCTTTAACGTTTCCGGTGTATTCATGCATCAAACCGGAGCAGCGACTTAAAGGCAGAATATCCCAAGAAACCCAGCAGCGGACGAGATCAATACCAGTCAGACCGTTGGCTAGGAGAGCCCGGAGCTTGGCGAGTTGAGGTGCATAAGCTTACCGTTCTTTGGCAGTTAATCGTTGAGGTAACGGATGGCCATTGCTAAGCCGATGAGGGCGGTATCTCGGCAAAGGATTTTCTCCAACAGGGGCAGTGTTCTGGCAATAAAACCAAGTTTGGTTCCAATCTTTGGGATGGCTGTGGTGTTTTGCATGAGGGAAATCAACTTCTTTTCTCTTCTGGATTGATACTCCACCAAGTTCCGTGTTGGGACCATCAGAGAACTCCGTGCGGCGGTTTAAATGGAAAAAATCCCGAAAAAGCTCCACAGATGGTTCTTCTTGAAGGTAAACTTCACAGAACACTTGAAAATTGCATATATTGGACACGGAATTCGGTCCAACATCTTGGGGATGGAGTTGAAAGCTCGCAAGGACATCCCAATTTTTTTTTGATCCGGGCGGGCTGAAACCCCGGTCTAAGTGCTGAGTAAATATGATCACCTCTCCATCTTGAGGCTCAGGAGGGCACTCAGGGCCAGGGACTCGCCAATGAAGGACCCTTTTTGAGGCTAAAGCGCCAGTGGTAACATATCCATTTATTTGTGTTTCCGTGATCCAGGACGGAACCCAGTTGCAAGTAGAGAATTGTTTGGTCATCTTGGAAAGCAGACTGTAAAGGAAAAATGAAGGCCAGTTTATGATTGACGGTTCAAGTGCACTAATCGGTGTTAAACCGGGAATTTGATCAAAGCAAACATGTGAGTTAAACCGGAAATTACTATTCAAGTCAAGATGGCGGTTTAAGTGAGGGCTAATGGTATATGGCGGATTGTCAACTACTAAAAAGTTAAACCGCCCTTAGGTGGAAGAGCCAGAGCTGAAAATCTACTAAGTGTCGGCAGAAACAGGTTTCACAAAATGACAGTGTAAATTTGGATCTACCGTGGTTCAGTAAGAAGATTATTCTAAGCCCTAAAATGGCGATGACAGAACACCATAAGTCTAGAAGGGAACTATCAAGGCAAGAGGAGATACTACGGCAAGGTAAACTGAAGTTATGTATCAGTGGCCGCCGGAGGAGGATGATAAGTTCATCTAGTTTCAAACAATACGCAAAGAGGCAGCAAGCAAAGATGAACACGTATGAACACGGAGGAACGCAGAAACCCTAAATACATATCTAGGGTTGAGAGGGGGAGACTTACCAGATGCGCAGGGATAGCGGAGAAGAGCTGCAGGTTTCTGGTACGATCAGGTTGATGCAGCGGCCTTCGGCGATGCAGTGCTCGAAGGTTGAGGGTGGCGGCGGAGCTTCAGAGCATGAGCGTCGCGAGGAGGAAGAAGAGGCACGGAAGGGGGAGAAAGAAAGGACCCCTGAGCCTATTTATAAGGCAAAGGGATAAATGGCAGGCGCGAGAATCGAGGAGCCTGAAGCGGCAAAAGTGGGCGCGGCTGTCGCCTCGATCTTCGGGATAACATTAAATGAAGGGAATCTTTTTAATCTTTTTATACAGAGATGACGTCATGATGATCTGTTGCTATGTCCAGAGGATGACATCATGGCGGTTTAACAAAGTTTACAGGAGAAGATATCATGGCGGTTTACAAGAAATATAAGGAGATGTTCACGGGACTTCTTTAAGTATTGAAGATTGACATGAACAGGTTCAAATCAACCTGGGGCCTAATGTTGAGGATATAACTACTGAGTGTAAACCGTCCAGGAGGGGCCGGTTCACCTTCAACTATATTGAAGCCCACGAAGACCCAGAAGATGGCGCTTTACTAATGAAGCTTAGAGGCCCGGAGCCCAAAGGCGGATTAGGGCCCATAGTGATAAACCTCCATGGTTGTGTAACTTGTATTGTAAGTTAGGAAAGGAGAGACCGAGCCGGACACTTGTATGAGCCGGCCTCGGGACTCTGTAAACCGGCCGGGTGTCAGCCCGTGTATATAAGGGGACGACCCGGCGGCGGTTCAGGGACAAAAAACAACAACTCGAGATCCAGACATAGCGTGTTTAGCTCCCTGGTTATCGAGACCCCGATAATCCCAACACAACTAGACGTAGGCTTTCACCTTCATCGAAGGGGCCGAACTAGTATAAAATCCTCGTGTCCTTTGTCCGATTTAACCCCTTTAAGCTAACCCGTCGCGATGGCTCCACGACTAAGTCCTTTCACAAGGACATCTGACGTGATATTTCCACGGCAGTATAGGAGAAAACCATTCTTCTTCATCGAGTTTACGAGGTCCCTTATGGTAACATAGCAGCTGCCATAGTCAATTACAGGACAAAAAGAATCTATCACAAGAATGGCTGACCTTTTTGCGATATGAATCTGGGAGTCTTGCCGCCACAAATATCATATGAATCTAGATCACTTATTCACGGTCGCCAGCGCCGTCCGATCTAGATCGCTCGTCCGCGCACGTGGTCAGGTGGCGTCTGGTCGGCACCGACCGTTTTCATCGCGCATGCTGCGGGTGTTACTGGAAACGGCATCATCCCACCCACTAGCATATTTAGAAATTCAGGGGAGGAGCAGGGGATTTGTGGCGAATTTTTTTTTGCATGCACAACGTCTTAGTAGTTCTTTTTTTGCAGTTCCAGAAACCTTAGTTGCCATGTTCTTTGTATATTCCCTCACTGATACACCCTTGGTTCCACAGAGTTTTGTAAAAGAGGAGGCGTCTTAAAGGGCACATCAAGACGGAAACTCACTTTCCAGGTGTTGGATTCGTTGAAGGAGGGCAAGAGGAGGTTGTGGGTTGGGAATTCAGGAACACCTGAATCTTAGATCAATGACCACCAAAACCGGGGATACGACGGAGAAGGGCAGGTTTGGGGGGCTATGACTTGGGGAAGGAGGCGAGGCTGGGTTTGGTGCGTTGGTGTGTCCCTTACGTGGAGCAGAAATTACGATCATGTCAAATTCTCCCCTGGGGGCATGTGCGCGAGGGGCCTGTTTGTTTCATTTTTGGTCTGCCAGCCGGATCCAGGGAAAGGCCCACTACCTATTTTGGGGCGTGTGCTCTGGACCGCTAGCCAGCCAACGGTTGCTGGCTAGCCTGGAGCTTCTACAATTGGGCATGGGACAAAGCGTTGCCAACCTTTTTGCTTGGTTCTGTAGCGAGTTTCCTGACGATGTTTCATCTCACCTCCTTTTCTATCTTTTCTCCTTTATCGGCATGTTTAGATGCTGATGTGGACTTTGTATTTTTGTTAAGAAATTGATGAAAAAGGGAGACGCCCGGTTGGAAAAAAAGGTTCTGTCTTAGTCTTTCAGACATTCCACAACAGAAATCAGCAGCGCGAAACCAAAACATGCACTTCTGTCAGAATCAGACAAATGCAGGGAGACGAAATATGAACTTATTCTTTCGAGCAGCAGCAGCAGCAGCAGCAACATGGCCACAACAAAAAACGTTGTTACAATCAGAAAAATGCAAGAAAACTACAGAGAAAGTATCCGGTGGAAAACCAAGTTACGATGACAATCCATATATAAATCACATTTGGGAGTTGATGTTATACAAGCACACGAAAGAACCATGCAGGAAGAGTGATGCTACAAGTTTTGTCACCATTCATCCATTGCTGGATATGGTTTTTGTTTTATACTCCTCTCAAGTGAATTTTATTTTTTCACTTGATTTTTCACATGTTTGTAGAACATCACCTCTCCAGCATAATATATAACATTTGAAACATACTTTGTCCAACGTACTACCCGGCTTCCACCCGGATTTATTTTTTCTCCAAACCACTATGAACTCTGGGAGCAGAAACAGCATCAAGCCCTATGTATGTATATAACAAGAAACAAACCCATCATCATGCTGCCGAGAAGGGTACAAGCCCCCTTGATTTCACCGCATCCCAGAGGAACAAAGCTAAATGAACAACCTTATTATTTCCACCTACCGGACTGAGACTGAAACAGCACACCGCTAACTGTCGTAAACACAACAACAAACATCTTTCAGCAGAATAAGAGAACAGATGGAGGGTTAAGCCTTAACACTTCTACTACACTTCACATTGCTTACAGAGACAGGAAAGACCGCGCTCGCACGAGCTCAGTCCTTCTTGAGGAGATCCTCCGGCTCGCGGAGGGTGCCAAACAGCCAGTCCATCCACACGGTGTAGTGGCCGTAGTTGTGCCGGTACGTCGTGTGGTGGATGGTGTGGTAGCCGGCGCCCATCACCGGCCAGATCTTGCCGTGGATGCAGTCATGGATGTTGGCCGTCCACACCGCCTCTATGAATAACAGAGCAATGTGCGTCCTGAAGTGCATAGGGAGAAGGAACAGAGCAATCACGTGCGATATGGCTTGCAGGATCCCGTCCAATGGATGGAATGCTAGTCCTGCAAGGAACAAAACGCGTAGATTAGAGCTGTCACTCCCTGATAAAGAGGCAATTTTATTTCTTGCCGTCAAAGGGGCATTATATCTCTATTTAGTTTTCCTTTGCTAATGGCATGGCCTCCAGGTTCAAAACATTAAATTAAAGAAGCCCAGTGTCTACCGCATTCCGAATAATTACTCCGGAGTACAAATAAATGATTATACTAAAGTATACTGAAATACAGATAGCATCATAAGAAGAATTATAAGTAATGGCTTAACATTTATCGGCAATGGATTAACATTTCACAAGAACAAGAAATAGGAACGCTAACGTAAACTAAGCCCGTTATCTAGAACCCTTGTTCATCACTGTTACAGCGAAGTTATATACTCTAGCACATCTAGCACAGAAGAAGAAAAGAATCAACAGCTCAATAAGAACTTACCAGCAAATGGTGATAGGGTATTCTCCTTGTTGTAAATGTGGTGGGTTGCATGTAGGTGCTTGTATAGTGGCTTTATGTCATGCAACTCTCTGTGCATCCAGTAAATTCCGAACTCCACAAAGATGAGATATAGAGACACATAGACAATGTACATAGGCCAACCAACTTCACTGATATGAAAAAAACACCGTGTCCATCCACTCTCAATCATGTGCTCAGATACGGACGGAAGAGCACAGTAGAACGGCATAGCCTTTGATGCAACAATTATTTGCTTCTTCATAGCTTCTACTGTAGGGACAGCATCTGCATCAAATAACATAATGTTTCAGCAACACGTTCTATAAATCCTTATCAAATACACCTACAGAAGGTTTTAAAATTACTCGAATAAATCCATAGGACGAACAGGAAAATCAAGCAGAAGTGAAGTGCATGCGATAAATGTGGCACTTACTGGTCATTTGGAGTTAAAGAATGAAGACTAACCATATAAATAAATTTATGTTACAAAGTACTTTCATAAGATGCAACATTTGGCAGCATATTATGATTAAGATTCATAACTAAAATGCATTGGAGGATATGGAAGGTCAAAAATGATTTACATTTGTGAGCAGGAAAAAATAGCATTTCAATCTAATTAGACCTCAGCCAAGCAATTAAGGGGGTGAGAGTCACAAACTTATAAATAAATGAAGGTTACTATAAGTGATCTGTATGAATCTTGTGTTTTGATTGGGCCTGCGTGCCTGATGTTGATGTCAAGTTTTGCAGCAGTTAGCTCAGGCTGGTAGAGAAGTATTTTATTTCCATGAACCTGTTTGGGTCACACTCGCCTGACAATGTTGTGTTATCAGTTTAATTGCGAAATGAAATTGGGAGCAGAGATCTCCTAATTTTTTTTAAAAAAAAAAGATCTGTATGCAGCAAACATTAAAAAATAAAATCTAAAGAACCATTTGGTTCCGGCAAATGACCTACAACCAAAACCATGCCAGCACTGCAAAATGTTGAACATGACGTTTAAAAGAAAGCTCTGCTTCCAGACTACTACACGCTAAATCACAACAAATGAAAAATATTACAGTGATGATGAACAAACAAATTGGACTAGCAGCTTTGCTTGCACAAAACAGTATCATGCAGCAAAATGGAATTCAATTTCCAAAGAAGCAGGAAATCATGCTGAAAAGGTTCTATTCCAGTTGTCTCGTACCTAAGGAAAACAAAAGGCATCTTGGTCCCATAGGAAAAAAATCAAGTCAACAATCGCTAGACACAAGTGTGCACCAGAGAAGATAGGCTGCTATATCCTTTTCATTACTGTTTTCTGAAAGAGACACCCTGCCTTTTTCTTAGCTGTGAGTTCAATTATGAGTTTTTGTTCGAGAAGATAGGCTGCCATATCCTTTCTACTGTTTTCTGAAAGAGACACTCTGCCTTTTTTTTAGCTGTGAATTCAATTATGAGTTTTGCTCGAGTGGTCCAGAACGTGGGTGCACCGAAATATCATGCAATTATCTCCATAAAAGATGCAGGCCGTTGACAAATACCAGCCATACAGGTCCCCCGTCTATTCATAGTACCGGAAGGACGAGCTGTCTAGTATGAGCATATGCATGATTGCAAGGTCCTGGACGTTTTACAAAATGCCCAGGAGAAAGCATGACAAGAAGTAGTATCTGTAGTTCAGTAAAATAGAAATAAAATATATTTTCATATCATATCAATGCCTTTTTTTTTGGAGTTGGAGGGAGTATTTAAGCATAAGCAAACACGGAAATTGACGGTTGACAGAGACGTCCATTTGTTACAATGTCACTGAGCCATGAAGAGTCTGAGCCCGATTGCAAGGTCCTTGGACATTTCAGAAAAATGCCCAGGACAGAGCATAAATCAGCAAGTTGTAATGCCCAGGACAGAGCACAAATCAGCAATTTGTAGCTGTACTACTACTTAAGCACAAGCAAACACGAATATTGCCAGGTCGACAGAGACCTCCATTTGTTGCCATGTGATCTGAGCTAAGAAGCCGGCAAAAGTAATGAATTAAATCATGATGCAATCTGGCAAGGCATTATAAAAACGCCCCGAAAACGTTGGCAGTCTAAGTATGCATCAGCCACTTAAAAATGTTAGTTGTCTGCATCAACGAGTAGTAGCGTGCAAGCTCTCTCTATCTGTCATCTAACTTGATTCGCGATCTGACCCAGAACACAAACAGGAGAAGAGGTCGACTTACCAGAAAGAAATAGCATTTAAATGTGGCACCTATCAGAAGGCAGACTTTTTTAACAGCTTGGTTAATTATGCATCCATGCAACTGATTACTGAATGCCACACACCTCAACCAAGCAGTGATAAAACAGGAGGTTTGGTTCCAACAAGCAAATAGCAGTTCGATCAAGCAAGAAGCTGCTTATTGTTGCTTGAAAAAGCAGCAGGAATGGACTTCAGGCGATTTGTTCGACGGAGAAGTGTCTGTTGAGTCGATCTTCGTGACCATCGACGAGCCAGCAGACAAATCCAAGATGTGACCCCAAACCCACCTCATCCAACAACCAGACTGGGAGGTAGGAGCTGAGCCCAGGCGCAGCACCTGAATCGTGAGCAGGGAACTCCAGACGGAAGACTGATAATTGGGGATCGAAAAGCCCTCAACAACCAATCAAACCTCTCGCCGTCATTTTTCTTCCATCAAGGGACCACTGAAAGAGGCCGAAGCCCAAATCCCTTTCGCGGAACACAGTTAATAATCCAACTAAATCCTCGGATTAGAAGAGCCAATGAATCATCAGGAGGGAAGGGGCCGGGGGAGAGGAATTAACACCAGTACTAGGATTCTAGGACGGCGTGGGGGGGAGGGGTTGAAGAAAGGCGGGACCTTTGGGGATGTAGGCGTTGCGCTTCCAGTAGTAGATGACGAAGCACCAGAGGAAGCCGGTGGCGAAGTAGAGGAGGTAGCCGCCGATGCAGTTGCGCAGCCAGGAGCGGAGCGGGTGCGGCAGCGCCCGCCACCAGCCGCCGCCGCCCGGCACGACCGCGCTGAGGAAGATCTCGTTGTACCAGCCCGTCTCCTCCCGGAACAGGCCCCAGTAGTCCTGCTCCGCCGCCGCCGCCGCCGCCGCCATTGCCGGCAGCCGTGGGAGTGTCTGGTGGGTGGAAAACGTGGGGGGAGAGATGCTCGGTGGCTGCGGGGTGGGGTTTTAAAAGGCAGTGGGGATGCGATCTGTGCACTGCCACCGCGGCCGCATGTGCCCAGGTGGAGCGGGGGGTCTCGCCCCCGTCCTTTGTGTTGCCCGAAGGAGGGCGTGACAGAAATGCCGGCGACTCAGGGGCGCTGGATCCATGCCGTGGGAATCATCATCGGCCGGCAGTTTTTCCACACAAAAGAAAATAAAAAAAAACATCTGCTCGCAAAAATTGTTAGGTATTCCATCTGTTCGCATCACAGTCAGCCAACAGACGGCTGATCAGGAAGTTGGGGGTACTGTCCAGCCAGCTCTCAGTCATGTCAATTGTGCAAGCATGCTTGGCACAAAGGTGAGCAGGACCGTTCGCTGACTTGAATACATGTTCAATTACAAAAGAGATAAGAGTGCTAGCTAGCTCTCCAATTTCTACTAAGATTGGTGCCACAACTGCGCGCGAGTCGTGGCGATTGGTACAAAGGTTTACAACCTCCAAACAATCCGTCTCAAGGACGACGCTCGTAAAGCCCCTCAGCTTGGCGAAGATGACACCGTCTCGTACTGCCATCGCCTCCGCAATGAGAGGATCCGTCACACCTGGGTATGGTTTGCTCCAAGCTCCTAGGAAGGATCTTGGTGATCTTGCCACGCCACCTCCTCCGCCTTTCCCTTCCTCGCGCCTAACAGCAGCA